GCTGTGGATAAAAGCGTCTGCTAAATGACTACATGTAATTGTAAATGTAAATGTAACTAATTACATTTATTTAACTTTTTTAATGAAAATCCTAAATGCAATTTTGTCAAGAGTAAAACCATCTAATCTTATCAACGGTCGGAGCATAAAAGTAGCCCCGTCTTGCTCCGGTATCAGCTGTACTGGTATCCATCCTTCGGCCCAACTACACCAACATAATTTTCTTCCCATTAATCTCAATAGCTTAAATATTACCTATACTGGCAAACAAACTTGTTGTGAAGTATTATTGTGGTACATAGTGTTATCAAAATGCAGTTTCATCAGTTTGCCTAAAAGAACACAAAACATTTGGATGTTTTACACACCATTTACATATGGTTGGGAGCATATGTAAATTTTTTCCCCTACAAACTTACATTTTGAAAATACAACTTCTTTAATGAATCCAGAAATTTACAAATGATTTACAAATTGTCTACTTCATCAATGACTGGAAAAGTTCTGCAGTGAAAGCAGCGGTGTTAATGATAAGCTGTCTGCATCTTGCATGTTTTGTTTTCATATGTATTAATCACATTTTAGATCATCTAACATGATCAACCAGGTTAAACAAGGGTCAACTGTGGGGAAAAAGCGATAAGGCACTGGAATGACTTCAGGAAAGTCTTCATCCACAAAACAGGGCAACTGACAAGGATATCATTCCGATCATTATTTAAAATCGTCTGGAGTGAGGTGGGTTCCAACAGGCAGGAAGTGGGGGAGGAAACAATGTTCCCTTGGGAATGTCTCCTCAGTTCAGTTGAAGGTAATTTTAGACTTTTTAAGTTTTGAAAAGCAGTACCTTCACGGGATACTTCACCTACAAAATAAAATGTGTTGTCATTTATTTGCCCTCATGTTTCAGATGCTCTACAAAACGTCATTGCACATTTTTGCTTTCATTTAGCCTACAATATTTGATTTGCTCTTTGTATGTGTTGATTTAATTTTTATGTGAATGAAAGCCTTCATTGTCTGTCCATCATATAAAAGTCATGTCAAGTCACCTTTATTTATATAGCGCTTTTAACAATACAGATTGTGTCAAAGCAACTTTACAGCATTAAATAGGAAAATAGTGTGTCAATAATGCAAAATGACAATAGTAAACACTCAATATTCAGTTAAAGGCAGTTCATCATTGAATTCAGTGATCAAAGTGATCTTGCAAAAGACACTTTTTGAAGCTTAAAAAATGTTGATCACATGGACTATCAATGGATGGACAAATCATACTGAGACAATATTAAAATGTTTTGTTTTCATAGATTAATTAAAATTTTGTGGGTTTGGAAAACATGTCTGAGTAAATAATGACAGTGTCCATTTTTGGTGAATTGTCCCTTTAACAGGAAATTTCATTATTAATGAACTAGCAGGTGAGCCTTCAATGATTGTAATTTTGCATGTTTTCATTTCTATAGGTGAATTTGTATGTTTGCTTGTTTCTGTACAACTGGGGTGCCTATAACTTTTCAGGAACTGCATTCTCAATGTTTGTCAGATGGTGAAGTACTACTTCATTATGGCATAATGTCATTGCGCATAATAAGCAATAAATTTGGTGTTTGTTTGTAGGCTTAATTAAAATTAAGTAAATAAATAGATAAATACTCAAAAGAGACAACTGAGCAAGTAAATTGCATTTTTGTGATGTAACTTGTAAAAACGAGTGCAGCTGTCTTTTGAAGACCTGCTTGCTTTTGCGGTGCCGCCCATTGGATTCCCACAGCCTGAAAATCATTTTTACGACTAAGAGAGTGCATCTAAATATTTTCCCTGTGCCTCTACCTGTTCAACAGTGCTGTACCTACTAAGAGGTACTTCTTCTCAGGATGACCCTCTGGAGCTCCTAAATGCTGTTCATGGATCGGCTGGTTTTGGGAAAATATATAATGTATTCTGTATGTAAAGCATTGCTAAATTTCTCTGTTCATTCTCACAATAAGACAAATTTAACATATGAAGATTCTCAATAAATTTGAATTAATCCTCACTGTAATGGGATTATTTGAGTTTTGGTGTATTGACTTTACTTTATTTTGATTTGGACTATCTTGAACACAAGTTTTTGTTATTGTCTCTCTACATTCAAACTTCCTGTGCTGACAGCAGAGGTGTTACAATAGCCTCCAGCTGAGCAGCACACATCTATTTCTTGTTTTGTGGTATAGGCTTGTACTCATGGTAGGGTGTGGTGACCTCAGCTCCTCTACAGTTGGTGCTTTATACACATATGTGGCTGTGGGTTAGGGTGGAAACTGATACGATGGTGGGTTCTCAAACCCTTTCTTCAATTTACTGCATTTTGGTTTTCTGACCCCTATCCTCATATGGCTTAATTTCTTTCCATTTATTATATGATTCCTTCTTATAGTAATCATCCTTTATGAAACAAAATTATATCGGAATATACGGCAAAATATAATGTAATATATCACATAATACATTCCCATATATGGAAAACTAGTGCTTATATTTTTCAATATACTGCAATACATGCATTGACCATGTATGGCTATATATTCATACAAATAAAAATATTTAGAAATTAAGACAAAAATAACATTACATGTAATATTCAGTCTAATATTCAAGTCTTATAAAACTTTTTCGTAAGGGTATCCTTCATTGTGTACATATATTGCACATACATGTTCCTATATAAATATTAAAGTATGTACACACATATAAACACATTCATGGAATGAGTTTACAGCATATTTCTAGATTTCTTCCCAGCATACTTTGCTTGTGACAGTTAACGTCCTGAGACCCTGCGTCCTCATATGAGGACATTATATTTCAGTGAATTTCTCTGAGACTATACATGCCACTATACATACAAGGATTTCCTGTAAAGAGCACATTTAGGGCTTTTCAGAGATACCAAATGTTTGGATGTTTCACCATGACCACTCCCTCTCCTTGGTCTTCAAAAATGGCTGACATTAATTTAGTGACCAAATGTAAGTGTCAAAGTTCCTGTTCTGTCCCTGGCCTCTCCACAACATGGCCACTATTCAAGAGCCCGCTCATGTCAGGACCGCCACGCCAGAGCCTCCAGCCATGATGGATATCAAGCCACAGTCTTCAGCCATCACAGATGCCACTCTAGTGTTCCCGAGCATCGTGAACGTTGCATTTGAAGACACCAAGGCATTCCAAAGGTGTTTGAGGCAGTGTGGCAGACCCACCGCTGGTTTCAGCCAGAGCAGCGGGCATTCCAAGGGCCTCAGCACTGGTCGTCACAGAGACTGTTCCTCTTTCCTCAGTGCTCCCTGTAATGGCAGTCGCCATCCTGTATGTTTGGGCTACTCACTGCTCTGTTACCCCTCCTGAGCTCGTTCCAGCCCGCGAGTCTGCTCCAGAGCCCGCTCGAGTCCTTGAATCCACTCTAGCTCCTCCCGAGGTGGCAGCTCCCGCTGCAGAACCTCCCGAGTCCGCGGTGTCCTCTTCTGAACTCTCTGCCTGTCCTGTTACGGTCAAGGAGACCGTCTGTGAATTCTCTGACTGTCCTGTCATGGCCAAGGATGCCGTCTGTGACCTCTCTGCCTGCCTCTGTTATGGCTGTAGAGGCCATTGTTCCGCCTTGGTCTCCTACGCCATCAGCTCCACCCTGTTGGTCATCCACTCCACTGTGCTCTTCAGCTCTGCCCTGGCTTCCTGCTCCGCCGGCTCTGCATCAGTTCCTTGTTCCTCCACTTCCACATGGACCTGGCCCTCCATTCCTCCCCCTGTTCCGCCTCCGCTCCACCTCCCTCCTGGACTTTAGTCTATTCTGTTTGGAGCATCTAGAAGCCGCTCCTTTGAGGGGGGCCTATGTCACAGTCCCTGTTCTGTCTCTTGTGTTTTACTTTGGACTTTTATGTTGAAGTGTTTCTCTGCCTCTGTGTTTCTGTCTTCACTTCCTGAGTTTAGTTCCTATTATTATTTCCTTAGTCTGCTTGCTTGTTCAAATAGTTACCCTTGTGTGTTCCTATGACAACTGCCCACACCCCCTTGTTACCTCGTTTAGCTTGTATGTCTGTGTACATTTAAACGGCTTGGTTTTCACTTGTGTTTGCTTGTTGTTGTTGTTAATGCTCCCTGGATTGTTCCCTGGATGTTTCTGGTTACTGGTTCTTTCTGTATGGATAATCTGAGTTTTTGCCTTACTTAAAGTCATGCGTGCAAGTGAATTCTCTCTCTGCTTCATCTCTACATTTCAGTAACACTCTTATGGAAATCTGGTAATATTTTGTAGTTATCATTTAATCAAATTTTTAAACTGTTTGTCGTAAATCAACATCTCAGGAAAATGTTATGGGGTTTCAAATCAAAACTTGACTTTCTGTTACGAAACAGGACATTGATTTCATACATGTCCTCAGTTGAGGACACTGGGACTAAAAACGCTTACATACACTTGATTCTTAAAGGGTTAGTTCACCCAAAAATTAAAATTAGGCTGCGTTTTACTCACCCCCGAGGCATCCTAGGTGTATATGACTTTCTTATTTCAGACGAATCCAGTCGGAGTTATATTAAAAATTGTCTTTGATCTTTCAAGCTCTATCATTGCAGTCAGCGGGTGTCGCATTGCTTCAGTCCAAAAGAAGTTAAATAAATAGTGCCCATCCATAAAAAAAAGCGTCTCACACAGCTTTGGGGGGTGAACAACGGCCTCCTGTTGCGAATCGATGCATTTTTGTAAGAAAAATATCCATATTCAAAACTTAATAATCACTTTAATCTAGCTTGCGCCAATAGTTGTACACAGAAGCAGTTCCGGGAGCATGACGTATGAGGTCAGCGTTGCGCATAATAATAATAATAATAATTTAATAATTTATGCATTTAGCAGACGCTTTTATCCAAAGCGACTTACAGTGCATTCAGGCTAAACCGTTTTTACCAGTATGTATATACATTATGTATGGTGCATGCGCCGGTGAGTCTTGTGAAAACCAACTTTTTGTTTACAGGATCAAAGGAAGCAAAGTTTCCTTACTTTAGCAAAGGAAAACAAGTCTCCTCTTGGCTTATATCGCCTGAACTGCCGTAACGCACCGCAGTGTAAATGGCAGAACAGAGCGCGAGTGAATGCGATCATTCCTTCCTCTTTACTAGGCCTACTAGTTTTAATTCGAATAAACATGAATGAACACATAAGCTGATAAAATGTTTAAAATAAAAAAAATTTTGTACTGGCCAAAGTGCGCGTTCGGTGCTGTTCGGGAGAGTCACGACAGCAAACCACTGATGTGTCTATGGTAATGTAGAGCTCCTGCACTCAGATTCGTAACGTTAGCCTGTTTGTGGTTATAGCAAAAAGAAAGATTTTTTGAACAGCAGAAAAAGTTTAAAAGTATGTAAAAAAAAAAAAAAAGACAGGACTGAAACATTTACTTTGTTTTATAGAAGATGGTGTTCTCCTGTGCCAAGAGCCAGTATGTATCTTTCAGAGGGTGGGACTGTTAGCGTTATTAATAAAGGAATGTGAATGAATGAGACAGTAAAGAGCGGGACATGCTTAATATTAAAAAGACGGTATTAAAAACTCAAAGCCACGAAACAGAACTCAATCCGCTTCTGACTGGATGTTTCCTGCGCGCGAGGTCTGAGCGGAACATGAACAAGCTTATTGTCTTCGATGGCGCACCTAAAATGGTCAAAACACGGATTGTCAAAATGCCTGCACTGGTGAGTATTCACATAAATACTGTCGACATGCACCTGTATGCACATGCACATGTAACCTTATAATGTAAAAGGGCTCCCTATAGTGTAAAGCATAAGCCGAGGTAGATTTTTATCACTAAGAAAATTTTAATTATAACTAAATGTATTTAAAGAAAGAGCAACTTGTTCAGTAAACCACTGTTTATTAAAAAAAAAAAAGTTTTCCCCCCTGCTGTACCGAAATCATACCGAACCGTGACATTAAAACCGAGGTACGTACCGAACCATCATATTTGTGTACCGTTAGACCCCTATAGATCCACTCTAGCATGGATCGCAGAACGAACTAAAAATAAAAAAAAGGTGAGGGCAGACCTTCGCACACTGGATGAGAATCGGCATTTTAATGCATTATAATTGTACAAAATCCTTGAAGGTAATTAGAATAGAGAATTTAGATTTTAATTTGATTTTTAATTCATTTTAATTTAGAATTAAGATCATGGTTCTCCCACGATTCTGAAAACAAAACATTAGCCAACCAAACTAAATCATATGTAGGCTAATTTACTTGAGGTTCTGACGAAATGTTTTATTTAATGTTATAAATGAGTCTATTTATTAATGTCTAAAATTTTATAAATGAGTCTATTTAATAATATGTATCAATTTAAATGAATTTATTATGTAAAAAAAAATCAATTGAAAATGGTTTCATCAAGATTTTTTGAGCAAACCTCTTGAATGAATGGTTCAGACATCAAATACATTTTAACAGTCACTGGTCGCCATATACTGACATAATGTAACATATACAATCTTTATTTGAAGCGTAATGATAGTTCCATAGGTCAGTTGCTCATTTTGATTGCAGCTGCCGCAACATATACAGACTATAAACATTTATTTTTTAATGTTTGCAACACAAATATAGCCTACTGTGTATACTGTTTGTGAAGCTGTTTCAAACATAAAGCTTACACGATGAGCACTGCTCTCTCTGGATCAGCGGCTGCACGAAAGCAGGTAAATATTCTGATGTGATTGTAATTCCAAAGGTTTAATAGACATAGCGGAGTCATCGTCATTCAAGAATAAGATTGCGTGTTTTAATTGAGATTGTGATCTTTTAATCGTGCATACATATGAGCCTATAGCATATTTGACAATCAGAATATCAGATATTTCATAATACAATTAACACATGTTTGTGAATATTTCGACAAAAAGAAGAATGTGTCATGTGACAAGCATGACGCATTGCCATGGTAGCAATAAGGTGAGACATTCTAATATAACGGTTGCCTAAAGCCCGATTTTAGCACGATCTGCTTGACACAGGGTGTCGTGGGGATTCGTAAACGACAATAGTCGTCGGGACACAAGATTCAATCGTTTCATCTTGTGTGGTGTTCATGCAATTTAGATTTGTGTCCATTGTCAGGTTTTCTTTCTTTTTTGGGGGTTTTTCGGATGACAAGACCCACTGTTTGCTAGCCATTGTTGTTGGCTGGGATATTTTAAACTCGCATGTGAAATGTTATGGAATAGAATTGAGGTTATGGTATGGTGGATTTCACCATAAGACGGGGAAGAGGTATATAACAGTTTAGCTCAATGAAGAGGTGATCAGACAGTCCAATCTAACAGCCAAGCACAGAAACATTATGTAGACCAGCACTACAGACCAAGTCCAGTGTGTGACCTTTTAAGTGTGTAGGAAAATCATTTTGCTGTATGAGATTGAAACATTCAAACACTGACATGAGTTCACGGGAATCGGCACAATCACTATCAAGATGTACTGTATGTTGAAATTACCAAGTAATATGACAGAAGAAGACATGGCACAAGTAAGGGTTAACAGTTCATGCAGTTTACTGAAAAAAATCATGAGTTTGCACTTACATGTAATCAGATAACCATATAAAAACAAATATTAAGCATATTTGGCATGCTATCCGAGGGGAGAGCTCTGAGCTTGAAATATAGCACGAACCCAGAGAACTCTCCCATTTCCTGAAGCTGGGATAAGAATAGTTAGGGGTTGGATGCCAAGGAGGGATGCTGGAAAAACTGTCGTGGGACAGAGGTAAGTTGGCTGTATTTACTATTTATTTATTAAGTTGGTTATTTCAACATGTTCCTCCCGAATTTTGTTAATAAAACATAATTTGACATTGATTTAGGCAAAAAATACAAGAGACAATACAAGCATTGGAGATGTATCAGAAATTTTGAGAAATAAATATTCAAAAGTTAGAGTCATATAAGTCAATAGTCTTGACTGGGATGCTGCTGCAGTAGACAGCTGCCAGACCACCACCCCTAGATGTCAAACGAGGATTGGCCAGGTTGCTGTATCCAGAGGGAGGGTTTAGGTGGAAATAATCGTTAGGAGTTTGCCATGTTTCAGTGAGCAGCAGGAAGTCAAGTTTTTTCTCAGTTAGTAAAAGTTCCAGCGAGAAGCAGCAGCAAGGTGCACACAGTGTACTCTCACCAGAGACAGAAACGGAGATGTCTCTATAGATGAAAATATCTCTAAATTCTTAGGATTTTTATTACGTTTTAGTTTACTTCTTGTAAGATTGAGACCATTGTGCCAGTCGCACTGAGACATTTCAAATGATACCAAACATGCCAACATACCAAACTGTGAATATCACTTGCATTCATGCAGAACATTATATTTTGCTATTGACCATTCTGAGTGAAAGGGAGGAAGTGAGGGAAAAGGTTTCCCACATCTTCTCTCAGTGAGATGTGAAAACAGATGCTACCATTATGTTAATACACTGTGTATGTCTCGTACTCTATCGCGTACCTTGTCAGTGTCGTGCACTTACTTGGCCATTTGTTGTGATAAACAGGAAATTGTGTTCAGCTGAATTCAATTTGAGTTTTGTTA